TTAATAAAGGGTTGTTACAACATGTTTGGTCTCATTTCACTTATTCTTCTTACAAGTTCTCATGTAATAAATCATCTTTATCACTGAAACTCTGAGTAAGCTCATTTGTGATTCTATTATATTTTGTTACTGATACAACATCTAGCAAAGTCACACTTAAAGCTAAAAAAGTTTCAATATTAACACTAACTCAACGGATAAGTTTGGGGTGTGGCTATTTAGTTTTTCCTTCAGTTCTGCCTGGTAACGATTGTGACGCAGAAACTACACACTTCACATTTAAAGGGATAGTTCATCCAAAAAGAAAATTATGTCATTAATTACTCACCCTCATGTCGTTCCAAACCCGCAAGATGTTCATTTATCTTCGTAACACAAATTAAGAATCCAAGAGCTTTCTGACCTTGCATAGACAGCAATGCAATTGACACGTTCAAGGCCCAGAAATGTAGTAAGGTCATCGTTAAAATAGTCCATGTGACATCAGTAGCTTAACCTTAATTTTGAACATGGTAGTTGTGTGGCTGTCTATGCAGGGTTAGAAAGCTCTCGGATGTCATCAAAGATATCTTAATTTGTGTTCCGAAGATAAACAAAGGTCTTACATGTTTGTAACAACATGTGGGTAAGTAATTAATGACAAAACTATTCCCTTTAAAAAAGAAAATAATGAATTTCAATCATTTATAAAAGTAAAAAAATGCAAATTCAACCAAAGGCTAAACAACATGTCTAGTTTTTCTAGCAGTGTACTCAAAATGTGTGTTTGTGCGTGGGGGGAGATATTTATCTACAAAAATGTTTTTATATAAGCAAACAGGATATGACTGCTCATTGTGGTCACAGTGGTGTAGTTAATGTTCAGCCTCTTAAAGTATTAGCATAAAACAGTGCAGTCCACACACCAGCAACTTACACGATTTGACTCTAAAAGACCAAAAATGTGCAAGAGGACCAGCACAGGTACTAAGACTCATTTAATTATAAAAATAACTAACACATTTTAGTCCTGTGAATAATTAACATTTATCTTCATATCCGTCATTTTCAGGAAGTGATTCTGTGAGGACCAGAAGATACATAAAAGCTACAGTGTATTTGGTGCTGCAGTGTGTTCTTCTGCTGGAGGCCATTATTTTGCTGCTTACTGAACACAGAACTAAGACTCACCAGTATGAAAACAGTGCGGAAACCTTCAATAAAACAAGGATCAAGCTACTTTCTGAGATTGAAAACTTGTTAAAAATGAAGGATGAATTAGTGAATGCCAATAACGAAATTACCAAACTAAATCACCAGTTAACTGAGGAGGAAAAACTACTGTCAAAACATCTTCGTGAAATGGGTAATCTTGAACTATACACTAAAACTACACAAATATTCATTATTAAAAAAGATATTGTATGTGTGTAGTACAAGCTGTTATTAGTAAGTTCCAATTCAGGGTAAATGAGAACAAGAGGCTTGCAACTAATATGGTTGTGTTACCAGATGGATGGACGTGCTATCAATCCAGTTTATACTACATTTCCTCTGAAGAGAAAAACTGGAATGACAGCTATCAAGATTGTTTGAAGAGAGGAGCAAATCTAACTATTATAAACCGCAACAAAGAAGAAGTGAGTAAAACACTGACTCAAAATGATTCACTTACTCATATTAAATATATGTTAGTTAAGATATTAAAACATTATTTTAATTAAATTCTATAATTAGGATTTTTTAAAAACTTACGGTGAAGTCTGGATTGGTCTAACTAATATGGAGGGAACATGGAAATGGGTTGATGGCAGCACACTGACCTCTAGGTGAGAAATCATTGAATTGAACCTATAATTATATAATAAATGTTTCTCACAATCTGCATCATATTACATAGAAAGCAGCACTGAACATCTAATGATGGTTTGTAATTTCAGCTTCTGGGCATCTGGAGAGCCCAATGGACATACAAAGAAGGACTGTGCTGTGACTTCAAAGCATAGTGACAAACCAGAGTGGAACTACTATCCTTGTAGTTCTGCTTTTAAATGGATTTGTGAAAAATAAAATCTGTAATATGATCGCTAATAGGAAGCAGGTAAAAATATAAATGTGTTACTTGTATTGCCTTTTTTTGTAAGCTAAAGATTGTTTCTTCAAAAAGTGCCATTGTAATTAATCTTCTTTATTAAATCATTGAGGAAATAAATTTGTTTCTATGTTGTTAGTGCACGTGTGCAGCTTTTGAAGCTTTCTGCGGTTTTAAAACACATAGCAGCTAGTATTGCGCTGTTGTACTGTTGTACTTCCGATATCTCAATAGCAGTAATGCTAATAGCAGAAGTACCAAACAATGAGCTCCAACACACATCAGATCAAGAGTCTGCAGCTTCACACTAGAAAGAATGGACTGAAGTTAGTGCTAGGCTAACAGCTAAATCTAGCTAGTATTCACTATGATAAAAGCATGACCTGACACCTGTTTGCTAATGCTAATATTGCACTTAGCGTGCTTTACACAGGGCCCAGTCTGCTGTTAACTGAGGGCATCCTGAAAGATGCATGCAAATTCTTACAACCACTGAGAAAGTATCCAAAGGCAGATAACTTAAATAATTTCTACTTAATGGATTTGCTACAAGGGTTGATCAGTTCTTCCAACAGCAAAAAAAAAATATGGCCAAAAAAAGTTACTCTGAAACACCACGAGACATTTTGACCAGAATTAATTCTTCTGAAAACCTCAAGAGCAGAAACATAGAAGCAGAAGTTCAGAATAGGACATGAACTCTCCATGAACAGATGCAGAACAACATTCACCAATTGAAGGGTTTCAAAGTTACAGGAGATACAGGAAATAAACAGAAAAAGTTAAGAGGAGATAATTATTGATGTCAGTGCATTAGAATTTACCTGCAATATATGATCATTGCTTAACTGATTATGGAGAGATGAAATCAGCAAGGAACCGTAACTTCCTATATACTGTATGTCTTTTATATTAAGCTTCATCAAGAAAGAAAAAAAAATAAAAGAAAAAAAATTATTACATGTTAAAAGTTATCGTCTTAGTGTACTCTGTATCTGCATTGAATGCAGTGTAAGTCGCTTGGGATTACAGTGTATACCAAATGCATAAATGTAAATGAAAATGCAAAGAGAGAAACATTTTGATGATGTGACTCCAGAGTCACAATAAATATCAAAATAAAAAGAAGGTGAAGCTCAAGAGAAGATAAAGCCGTGGGCCCCTCACTCCTCCAGCACATCGCACCCTCTGGTGTTCTGCGATGAGGTGGCTGAGTCCCCGGACAGGGCGGGGTCTAGCATCTCATTCGGGCCTCCGGCAGATGACAGGATGTCGATCACTGCATCGGGGGACGAGCTAGGCTCTGGAGATGAAGACTCGGCTGCGCTGCCTCCGTCAGGAAGAGTGGCGTTGCCCGAGTCAGATCCAGAGCTGACTGCTATACTTTCCCGGGCCGCAGAGAGATCTCCCGAACGCTCGAGGTTGGATGATTGGTTCCTGGGGGTGCTGCAGGCCGATCGTCGGCAGCCACCTCCGGATCCATTCTTCCCGGAAATGCATGAAGAAGTTACTAGATCTTGGAGGGCACTTTTTTCTGCCAGAAACAGAGCTAGTGCTTCTTCCGTCCTCACTGCCCTCGATGGCAGGGCGGCTAAAGGGTATGTGGAGATCCCCCCCAGTCGAGTGCGCTATTGCGATGCAGCTCTGTCCGCAAAGTGCTGCCGCCTGGCGGGGTAATCCACGCCTCCCGTCCAGAGCTTGTAAGTTCTCGTCCGCTCTAACGGCCAAGGCTTACAGAGCTGCTGGACAGGCCGCCTCCGCCCTGCACGCCATGGCCCTCCTGCAGGTCTACCAGACCAAGGCGTTGAAGCAGCAGTTCTGACCCAGGGGTAATGCAGGAACTGCGCACGGCGACGGACCTCACCCTCCGGGCGATGAAAGTCACGGCGCTGTCCATCAGTTGGTGGTACCCAAACATTCAATAAAAGAGCAGTTTCCTATTTCTCCGGGTCTCAAGAGGGCGAGGATGGCAGTGTGCGAGGCACAGCCTCAACACTCCCGTCCCCCTCTCCTTTCACCAGCGAGCAGCAGGGCCTGGTCCGAGGACGCTGTGCCTTCTCACGTGCCCCCTGCACAATCGTGGAGCCAGGTAAGTGTTGCACTGTGCACTCAGACCCCACTCTGGGACGCTGTGCCTTCCAGGTCGAGTCCCTGCACTTCACCTCACTGCCCCACTACGGGTACGTCGGTGGTTCCCCTAGTTCCACTTGTTCGGTTCCTGGGGGCCTGGCTAGAGCTCCCCAGACCATCTCCCTGGCTTACGAGAACCATCAGACTCGGCTATGCGATTCAGTTCGCCCGGCGTCCTCCCAAGCTCAGGGGCATTCGGTTCACCTCTGTGCCGAACAAGGATGCGCATGTACTTGCCGGCTTTCGCAGGGCACTGGAGGGGGTCAGCAATAGTGGTGTTTTCCATATGGATCCCAATTCGTCAGTCACTGACGTAACGCCGAACGTGACTGACTGAAAAGGAACATCTCGGTTACGTATGTAACCCTCGTTCCCTGAAGGAGGGAATGGAGACGTTACGTTCCATCACCACAGTTGCTGTACCACCGCTGTACGGCCGAGGCACACCGTCTCGGCTCCACAGCAAAAAACCAAATGTGCGACTGCACGCGCTCTCCTTATATACCCGCGCTGCGGGTGGGGTGCGTGACGCAAAGATCGCACGCCAACACTTATTGGCTTGTTTTGTTAAAGGGGTTATTTGCAACTTCAGGGATCTTATCTATGCACAATCAGCTTGTAACACTCCAAAGAGAAAGGAAAACTTGAAATCGCGTCATATGACCCCTTTAACACTCAAAGGTGATTGGTCTCTCTAGCAAGATCCCAATTCGTCAGTCACTGACGTAACGTCCCCGTTCCCTCCTTCAGGGAACGAGGGTTACATACATAACCGAGACGTTCAGAGCAGTGCAGTCTACTTGAAGCAACAACTTCTAATAATCTCACATTTACCTCCATCTAATTAATGGAATTCATGGAACATGGAATGGGTAAAGATGAAGATAAAGAGAAGATGAACATATATGCTAATGTACATTCTGTAAACATTCATGATGTCAGGACAGAAACAGAGAACACCAGGAAACACCAAACACCTCAACACACAGGTACTGCGACTCATTTCATTATAACAACAACACACATTTGACACACATATAACACATTTGAGTTATAATAATGTAGTGTTTAATAATCTTCAGGAACTGATTGTGTGAAGATCAGAAGATACAGAACAGCTGTGGTGTGTTTGGTTCTGCTGTGTGCCCTTCTGCTGACTGCAGTCATAGTACTGTGTGTCCACATCCATACGAACAACACACACTACACAGAAGAGAGCGGTGAGCTACTAATTAACATTACCAAACTCGCAGAAGAGAAAGACCAACTACTAACCAGGAATACAGAACTCACAAAAAAGACAGACCAGCTATTAACTAAGATTGTCAACCTCACAGAAGCGAGAGACCAGCTAGTAAACAAGAGCATGCAGCTGACAAAAGAGAGAGATGGATTATTATCAAGTAACCGTGATCTGATTAGAGACCAATTACATCAGGAGAAAAATGAACTGTTGAAAAGTATTCATGGAATGGGTAATTATGAACTATTTTAAAACTAAAACAACCACTTATTAGTAGATCAGTGTGATGGGAATAAAGTGCTAATAGTTTAATTGTTTCTGTTTACAGATGGATGGATTTACTATCAATCTAATCTTTACTTTGTTTCCTCTGAGAAGAAGAGCTGGACTGAGAGCAGAAGATACTGTATGGAGAGAGGAGTAGATCTGATCATCATAAACAACAGAGGGGAACAAGTGAGTGAAACTAATTTTATAACTATAGTCTAGGGGAAGAAAACTGTTATAAATTATCATATAAATGTGTTATTTTTTTCCCATTTTCTCAGGATTTTGTGAAGAAAATATCTGCTAATGCTAATGTCTGGATTGGTCTGACTGACATTGATGTGGAGGGCAGCTGGAAATGGGTTGATGGCAGCACACTGACCTCTGGGTGAGAAATCACTGAACTTAACTGCTTATTACGTAATAAATGATTCTCACAGTCAGTATCATATCACACAGAAAGCATCACTGAACATCTAATGCTGATCTGTTGATACAGATTCTGGGATCCTCGAGAACCCAATGGACATAGAGGAGAGAACTGTGCTCTGACTTATTTACCAGGATGGGCTGATTATCCATGTAGTGATCTTTTTCTATGGATCTGTGAAAAGAGCATTTTAAAATAAGTCATTACATGAACTGCAGGTTCATGTACTAAAATACACATGGGTACATTTTCCCCTAAGAACAGCTTTATTTAAAGGAACTGCAACTGCTAGAACACAGTTTTTTTTCCCTCCATACAGAATAGAATCATTTACAACACCAAACAGTGAAGTGAAAGTGCAAATACACACTTTGAACGAAGCAAATGTTTTTTTCTTATGGAATTTTTCTTTTCTTTTTTATTACAGACTTTTATAATAGATATGAAAGAAAAGGGTAACTAAGGGTAAACACAGTAAATTAACTGCTTCGATGTTTGTTTTGAGCAGTTATTAAATTAATTATTATGACTGTCCGTCAGTTCAAAAAAAGAGGGATTTTGGAAGATGGAATACGAGAAGTAAATATATATAATAGTATATCACTTGTACACAAAGTTTGATAAATATGTTTTATAAATATTTGATATGCATAAAACAATGGTGCTGTGTCATGAGTGTACTTGATAGCAAGTAAAGATACAATTCTGTTTCCTAGACTGAACTGTGTAATACGATCAGAATAGGGATTGAGTTGTTTTTTCTAATCTTTAACTATTGATTTTGACAATCAAAATTTGTAGTCAATAGTCAAATTTAACCACTGTAGTTGAGCCTGTTTATTGTTCAAGAAGAGATGCTGTCTCAGTTCAATAAGACTGAGGATGAATTCAAAATGCACTGGTTATCATTTTAAAGCAGGAATGGGCTCTCTCTTAACACTAGAACTACCAAGGCAGTCATTTTGACCATTTTTACATTTTAGTACAAAAGTAAAAATGTATTGAAAAAAGATGTATGTAATCATTTCTAAAATTCACAAGTTTTATCTACAAAAATATTCTGCTTCGGTTCATATTTGTTGGCATTTAGACTTTCAAATACAACATTTTCACTGCGGTGAAAAACTTTTGCTCTCCCGCTAGCCGGACACAAAGCGAGACATGCACATTCTATATTTTATTATAACATTGTTATTTTATTAAAATTACAAAACACAAAAAAGTTCTGAGTATTTCTACTTTGAATGGCCAAAGCGGTCAGATTGACCGTTCGCAATACAGACGGTGTATAATTTTTGCTTTTGCGAGTTTTTCCCGCGGATGAAGATGCACATCACTGTTGCCTAGCAAATTTTGTTCTAGTTGTTTTTATATTCTATTGCTAAGCTAAAATTCCTGTAAACTTTTGCTCTCCCGCTAGCCGGACACAAAGCGAGACATGCACATTCTGGAGCGGTCTACATAGCTCTTACACAATTATATATTACAAAAAATATCGTATTTTTTAGTGTGATGACATCATAAAATATGACAACAGACATTCAAAGCTTCATTGTAAAACCTCAAAAAAAGCTTTGAATGTAAATATAATATGACAAAAATGGCATTCAGTTCAGTCTAGTATGAACGGTCAGAATGACCGCTATGGCCATTCTAGTAGTTATAGAATTCCGGTAGTTCTAGTGTTAAAGCAATGGGAAGAAGTGGAACGTGTTATTGGTGTTTCTTCATGTTTCCTTTTATGTTATCAGATTTTTTTCTTTTCCATTTTGTTATATGAAGGTCACATTAAACTGACTAGAAAAGTTTTACCATCCTTCCATCATTTACTTGTTTTGTTTTCAGTGCAAAGATTCAAGTGTATTCATCTTAAAATATGGAGATACATAATAAATGTGACATTTAAACTATGTACACTATGTACAATTTTTACACTACTCATGACTGTCAGTTCCTCAATTTCTCTCAAATCAAAAGGTGGTGTACGGTTTTTTGAATGAGGGAAAACAACATCCTTATAAAAATGTGAATGATGACTGAGCAGAGAGAAATATATTTATATTTTTCAGATGAGCTGGATGCTGACTACTGAGAAGGGTGTTAATGAACTTCCATCTGTTGTGCATTATGCAAAATGGCTGTCATGGCACTTTAAAAAGAGAAAACTTTCTGTAAATGCTCATTTCAAGTGAAAAAAAAAAAGAAAATTGAAAACTGCTGAGCATACTTAAAGGAACAGTTCACCAAAAACAACACTTCTGCCATTTAATCACCCTTGACGTTGATCTGGATCTTTAGTCTTCTCATGTTTGGGTGAAATGTTGCTTTTGTCACGGAACACTGAGAGAAAACAAAGTTAGATCCAAGTGCAGTAGGTTTAGTAACAAATATCCAAAAACAGAACAAAAACTAGGCAAAAGGTAAATTCAAAACACAGGGAACAGAAAACACGACATACCTCAAACAATACTGCAGCAAAGAC